CGCATTCGCGTTCGCGTGGCTCCCGTTTCGATTGGAGTTTCGAAAGGAAAGCGGAAAAACCGAAGAATCGTAAACGGGACCGCAACGGGGGTGGAAGGGATCGGAGTGGGATACTAGGGGTCGTCGTTCGGTAAGCAGGACTCGGCGAGCGAGAGCGAAGAAACGAAGGTTGTTACCGTAGCGGAAGAAAGCACGATCCATCATGGGGCAGAAAGGACGGAAATCGATCGATCTCGGGCGAGCGGCGCGCTGCTGTGAACGCGACACGAAAGCCACGGTGGATCCGATTGTTGAGAGGCGAGAAACGCCGTTGCCGTGCTGCTAGCGCACGCGACAACCCGAGGAAGGACGTCGAGATCGAGACTTTCGAAAGTTCCATAAACGACGCGTACGTCGTAATTTTCCCCCGATGGGCAACAGCGTAGAGAAACTAGCGCGAGTGCGCGTACACGCGATCGATCGGATCTCGTCGTCGCGTGTCTAACCGCAACTTTGCTTCCTACTCGCGAGGACGAGCCAGCGTTCGATTCCGCTCGCAGATTCTGTCGTAAAATGGGGTGCGAGTTTCGTCGAATTTCGAAGAAAGGATCCCCGTATCCGCGGTTAGCCGTTCACTTTCGAACCCCTCTCACCCTCGCTGGTTATTGCTACCAACCTATCGCGTACACGCGGGATCCTTTCGCGAGCGGTTGCTAATTTCCCGCGCGGCGAGTCGGCAATGATTAAGCTTTCGCTCTACGGTAATTACGCGGAGCACGGAAACACGGCGAGATGTATACAACAACGCGCATTCACCCGCGGCCACAACTCGCTTTTGCTCTCGCACTCCTTCCTGGCTCACCCCCGCGCCTGCAACCCCTTCCCATCCTCGGTCCGACCAAACTTAATAATAATAATAATTGCGTACACAAAAACCCTCGCAAACGAGACGCACACAACGTGAAACCGAAATGAACGGTGCAACGAGAAACAGGAAAAAAGGCGGAAAGAGAACGAAATGGAAGGGGTGACGTTGCGAAGAAGAGTAGGGTATAAATACTAAATTCGCTGAGAAACGAGTGTCGTCCGGCCGCCGAACAAACGCGCGGGACACCGCAAATTCTACGCTTCTATCCTTTTTTTTCTTTTTTTTTTCGAATTTCTTCCAAAGCGGATTGGACCGACAGCGAAACTATTTTCGCCCTGCGACCTCGATGGTTCGGTTGCGCTAGGAAAGGGTGCATTAGAGAATTCGTGGCGCTAAAGGGTAGTCGGAAGAGCGAAAGCGACAGACGATCCAGAAAACAGGATAACAAGAAATGAACTTTCGTGGCAACATCCTAGTTCTCCACTTCCCTCGACTACGGAGGAAAACATTGCGGCCATTTTCCTCCCGTTTCACCGCGTAGATTGCGGTCTTATGAAATTACGCGAAACTGTTTCGGGAAGAAGGGATGCGGAAACGAGGAAACGGTTTTGTTCCTCGCCGGAAAAGACGAGGCTTGTACCACGATTATTGTTACACGCGCGGTCTCGCGGTTTTTAAAACCCGATCGAGCTTCGATTCGGGTACACAATACGTGGTCGCGTCCGCCGTTGCACCCCGTAGACCGACAGCAACCCCCTATCCGTTATCCGAAATACGCGAAACCAGGACGCGTACGTTCCCACCTCCGGCTTCGGTTACCTTTCGCTCTCCGTCGATCTAATCTATTACCATTTACATAATAGACAAAGCCGAAGGATCGTACGTCGAAGGAAACGTAAAATCGCAAACGTCTATAGGAAGGTGTCGTTGACTAACCGAACCGTACGACACTACGGAGAAGCGGCAAGTTATAAAACGTTGGTCCCATGCCGCGATCTCCAGGGAGCATCTAAACTCGAATAAAGTCTGGAAACGGGAAGAGATAAACGACGTCGGTTCCATTACCAAGGCAAACTCTTCGCAGGCATCGTTCTCCTATCGAAACAACGCCTCTTTAATGGTATCCGATCGAATTTAACAATCGTACAGCGCCAGGTAAAGAATCATTCGAATTGCAGCTAATACGGGATGCTTAGGGATGATTCGATGGATTTCTCAATCGAATCGCACGGTGGACGAAACAGCTGGCCGAGGCGAGGGTGCGCGGCACCACGTTTCCCGTTAGGATAGCACCTAATGTAATCACGATAATGGCCACCCCGGGTCAACCAAGGGCTCTACGCCATCGCTCTCGGCATCCCAGACATTCCTGTATCATCGCGTGATCTGGACATGAAAGGGGAAGAGGAATGGGAATGTAGTGGCGGCAGGAAGAAGAGGAGGAGTAGGTGGATGTGAACGAGGAAGAGGAGGAGGAAGTGGTGGAGAATGGCAGGAGAAATGGAGGTAGGGGGCGGTACACCCGTGGAATCCCGATTACTAACGGGCGCTAACAGGCTTCCGAACAATCGTCGTCCGTCGATGCATCATCGTTCATCGACAGCGTTGCAACTCTTCTCTTTTGATCGCTAAAAAATCATTCCCGCGTATCGTTCGTCCGTTATTCCTTCAAACATTCGAGCTCGCTCGAAACGGGGAAACAATGAAACGCCTGGCAATTTTTACCGAGACAGGAGAACCTTTCCCGCTGGATTACCGATTATCGAAACGTGCCTTGGATACATCGATCGACTAGCAATCTCGCCATCGCGTCGCGTCGCGTCGTTTTGAAATTTCCAACGTTACTCGTTAGTCGATGACCGACGAATTTCACGTGTCACCGTATCCTACTACCCTACGAGCGCTGGAATCACCGCTATCGATCATTTGTTTCCTCGAAATTTCGACGACCGGGCCAATCGTGTCGCGAACCCTTAACTCGTCTCCCTGATGAAACCAACCCCGCGATTCTGCATAGGAATATCGATTCAACTTTTTACCCTAATACAATCGGATTAAAGCATTTCGAGGTCGATCGGGTATCGATCGAAAGGTCAGCATCGAATACACCGTAACTTTGATACATTTGCGTGACACGGCGAAGAGAGGTCGAAACGGAGAACGTGCGACCCAAAGTTGGTCGCAGGATACACGAAATAGGCAACGACAGTGGAAACGGTAGCAGGTGCGAGGGAAACGAGAAACGAGAAACGAGCCCGTTAACCGAATTAACGTTCTCCGTGGTTCTCGAACAACTTCTTCCCGAGTATTACCCGACTTGCTCGATACGAGAGAGCCACGCGTTTCACCTACGAAAACTTTTCCTTCTCCTGTCGCGGGTTCTCCGTTCTTCATCCCCTAACGCGTTGCACAGATTTCAACGATTCCTTTCGACGAGACATCGCGAGAAAACGAACAGCCGCTAACTCGATCGACGATACATCGTTTCCTCCTGAATTTTTACCCTTCTCCTCGGATAAGAACCTTACGCGTCTCGGTCGCTTTTCTTATCGTATCGTGAAGAGTTACGAACCAAATCTAAGCCACTCTGTACCATAAATGTTACGAAACACCCACCCTCGCGAACACATTGATCCTGGAAAAATTAGTCAAAGTTGAGTGGAGAAAAAGAAAGGAAGGAAAGGAAGAGCTAGTTCAAAGGTTATGGAAGAGAAACGCGAAGAATAATTCCATTGATGGCGATCGAAAAATCGAGAGGCCGAAAAGCAGCGTATATAAATCGGTGTATATGCATATTTTGCCTTTGATGGTCGCGTTCATTTGCATGCTCGCGAAACTATCGGCCCCCTTCTAAATCGATATATTCAAACGCATTCAACACGCGTGGAACAAGCCGAGGAAAATAACGTGATCGCTTCGCAGAGTCGTTCGTCGACGAAACAAACGGGGCTATCTCTCTCTCTCTCTCCTCTCTCCTCTCTCATTATGCCATACGAATCGGTCGCGATTACGAATACCGAAGCGAAGGTTATCCGTTGGTGTTTCGCAGCCTTAATTGCGTGCACCGTCAGCGGATAATTGATGAAGTAACGCGATTATCCGTATGGTCGGATAATTCTGTGGATTGTTAGGAGACCGGCCATCCTGGAACGTTGATAATCGATCGTCCATACAATTGGTTCGTTCTATCCCCTCTGGCAATAATACAATAACCGAGCTATTTGTTTAACCACCAAAATTATTCTCTTTTCCCTCGTTTCTCCATCGTCGCCCTTATGGGTGCCTATAGGGCGTCGCGTGTCGCGCCCAGTCGCGTCATCCGACGAATTTTCTTTCGGAAAAAGAGCTGGCTATACAAAAGTAGCAGAGAAAATGCTTTTTTTCCTCCCTTTAGATTCCTTCACCGTTTCCTTTTCCTTTTCCTTTACCTTACCCGGTCTCTCGAGCTTCCCGCTGGCGGCGGATCTCGCGACAAAGCGAAGGAACGATGGAACTCACAAAGGAATTCCATTCGAGATGAATTAACACATATTTCTCACGGTAAACGGAAAACTTTGTTATCAAGACGAGCGCGTCTGATGAACCGTCTTTGAGCACCAGTTTTATACAACAAAGAAAAATCTCTTACATCCTTCTGTACGAGTGAAACTGTTTCGTATCATAGAAAACTTTTAGTTGAATTCCCCGAATGCAACTGACGGAGGCATCTCTCGACAAGCAAACAAAATTGCTCGTTTCAACTCCGGACAACTTTCGATCCGTCTGAAAGCAAGTTGGAGTTCGCGGTTCAACTTGCAGCGGGAAAACAAGATCCGGAAGTGACTCGAATAGCCATCTCTCGGAAGGAACAAAACTCACCATTGGTAGATCTACAGACGAAAGATAAATAATCAACTTGCAATTTTTCATTTTCCTTCGACGCAATGCACTCTTGGATGCATTGCTCGTATCAAAAGATACACGTGCAAAATAATAGAGCGCCTGAGTAATGATATTTTGTTCTACTTCTCCGGTAAAGTAGTTCCCGCTGTTATCCGCTCGAGATAAAAGCAACTATGGAAAACCTTTCTGAATTTTCCAAAGAAAATCCAACTGAACTATACGATGGCTATGGGTGAAAGAATGTTTAGGAAAAATTTGAAAGAAATACTACTTTGAAAAATTGAAATCGTATATTTATTCTATTTACTCGATTAAATTTACAATTTGTCTTATCACTTCCACAAATTCGCAAATCACGTCGTTTAATCTTATTGATGGATCTCGCGGGGTGGTTGCGCTAATTTCTGCAACACCAATTCTGGAATACGTTTCTCCTCCAGATTTCTTGTCCCGGGCAGCTTGGCAGGTACTTGAGACTTTTCCAGCAGATTCAATCCTCCGGGTAATAGGAAGGGCTTGTCGACGACCAGCTTCGACAGAGGCATCGCTTTCTCCTCAAGATTTTCCGTGCTTGGTAACGAGGACCAAACCGATTCCGTGTTTTCCGCGAGGAAAGAGGCTCCAGAAGCTGCTGAAGCTCCAAGCGATCCGACGAACAGCACCAAGAAAATCATCTGTAACGATGTCTCCGATCACTGTCGAGAACCTGTTACAAGTATAACGATCCTCTTACCTCGATCATGTTCGCTCGGATAGCAGCGGCCAACTGTACTCTGATCGGAATCCCGGATCACGATACTTTTATACAGGTAGACGGCAACATACGTGGCGACACACTGGTCCCACCACGTGAATCGACGTTTTATTTCGATGAGTCGAACGACCACGACACTCTGCCCGGAGCAACGTCTTTCCTCATCGAACTGTTTTCTTTCTCCAACAAGTATCTTACCTGTTTTCTTGCCAGCCCCAGGACTCGGCGTAAATAAGCAAACGGAATGTTTGCGCGCGAAATGAAAATCGCACCTCCGACATAAAATGTAGAAATACTTTTCACATTTGGTGTAAATATTGTTTCAATAGAAGAAAACAAATGTACGGCGCGCTAGGTGGTCTTACGTCTATTTATCTAAAACCGAGAAACCGGTGAAATCGAGATTCGTCGAATCCCTCTTTGGTGATGACACGATACGATGATCAAGAATTTTTTCCCATCGTATTCGTTTTTTTATTTTCAGGATCTACGCAGCGAAGAAGCAATAACGCGACTGACTCCTACACCATTTTTATATGTCCACATATTCTGTTACCTTTTAAGGTACAACGACACTAGCCAATTGCTAGTCGATAACGATTAAATGCGCGTAGTATGCGGTCATTGGAAAGGTGACGTCAATTTAACCCTCTTCCAGTCGATTAACCGATTGTTACGAGCAAAGCCAGCCCCTCATCACCGTAAACTCGAACTTACGAAGAGAAAAATGACGTCAGGCTGTTCATGTACCTTGACATTTCTCACGTCACAGCTAACTTTTCTCTCTGCCGCGTTTCCGAACGAGAAACAATGCGCCCCCGCTATGTTCGCCCGTCGTTTCAACCGAAGCAGAAAACCTCGATCGACGTTTCTCGCAATTTCGGGAATCGTTTAAAATAAACTCCACCCCTGGCCCCTTCTTTTACCCTGCCTCGGCAAATCGTTATGATCGATCTATTTGGATCGTACGACCGTTGAATATTCTTCGGTAATCGTTAACGTAAGGTAAACAAGAGAGCGGCCAGACGTTTCGCGACATCCAAACACACCAGCCGTTCGAACGCGGCAATAGGTGAAATCGTATCGGTAACAATCGGATATTCGTTGAAAGCGTTTCGTTTTCAACGATTCTTAAATTAGTCGTTGCTCAACGGTGATTCGCGTGCCGACGCGTGGTTTAACCGCGTGTGTTGGTAACGCGTTCGTTTTCATCTCGAAACAGAGAAAACCGAAAATACACGGGGTTTGACGTAGAAAGCAAAGTTTCAATGTAAGCAAGCAACCAAGGAAAATCGATCTCGTATTTGTTTCTTTTTGCCTGTACACTCGAGGAACCGTGGCTCGAACTTCGCCGGACTCTAGGAACAGCTCTAATTTCGTCAAAACACCTTGCGATCTAATTCTACCCGACCGTACGTCGTCGACTCGTTTCTCTTTCTGCGTATTTTCTTGCTCATTTTTCTTTTCCAATTAAAATGAGCCGTGAAGCGATCCCGAGAAGAGCCGCGCTCTCGTTCACCGCACTCGGCGGTATTTTGGACATGGATCAAATTATGGAAAGCGATACGTGGCATGATATCAACAGATTCATGCAACAGAATTTCAGGCAACAAGTGTTGAAACAATTGAGCCCGGAACGCGTCGCAGAAGGTAAGCAGGACAAGATTTTCACGTTAACGTCCTTCGATCGATAGATCATTTATAATTGACGACAGGTGATGAACACAGCGGAGAAGATCGAAAGACGTCATCTTCCAAGAAATCTCGTGCGAAAGGAAAAAGTCAAGAGGACGAGGAAAAGTCGACGGAGACGAAAGAGGACGGAGGTCAAGGGTCACTGGAAAATGAAAAAAACCAAGGGAAAGGGAAGAAGGGTGCTAGCCAGAAACGAATCGTAGATGGTAAAGGCAAAAAGGAAGGTAAACAAAGGAGGGTTCCGAAGGAAAAACCGAGTAAAACTTCAAAGGCGTCAAACAATCGGCAGAAGGTTGAAAACGTTTTGAAACCGAACGCTAAGGTAAACTCAATCTCGAAACCGACCAGGAAGAAGGCGGCAAGTGCCGCTAAAGATACGCAAGCCGCAGGTACTGAAACTGTAAACGTAATAACAAATAAAAATGAAACGATGATAAGCACTTTAGGAAGCATAAACTCACAGCTGCCCGTCAATACTAGCACGCCGAAGAGCAAACGCGCGCAAGTTAACGATTTAATAGGGGAAAAGGAAGCAGAAAAGAACGCGTCAGGGTTGAAAAAGGCTCCCTTCTCGGCGGACGCTTCTTCCAAGAAATGTCGTGCGACGGAGATTTGTCCGAGAAAAGATTTGAGTAAAAGGAGGGATGAAGTTACAGCCGGGAAGAAGAAAAACACAAATGCGTCCGTAAACTGCGAAACTGAGAAGACTAAAAGGAAAAAGGAAAACAAAGAACCCCCAAGTTCGAACGCGGGAAAACCACTGAAATGTAGCAAGCAAGAGGAGAAAAACACCGAGACAGGTAACTCGTTACAATTTTTTCTACCGACGTGCGATTTTATTATGCCACTTTGATAACCGTTTAGTGATTCAACAGGAAAGAAGAAGATCGGAAAGCACGAGCAACGGCTGATCGAAAAGCGGAAAAGACGAGAGGAGAGAAAAATCAAACGCCACGAGAGAAACGCGGAAAAAGCCATGAAAGCATTCGCGCATCACGTAACAAAGATTGTTACGAAAATGGGATACCTGCCAGGTAGAGTATCCGTAAACGTTACTTTCAGCACAGGTGGAAATAAACTTCCGATGAAGCGCGATTTATGTTGTGTATTGCTTTTTCCCAGACAGCGGTTCATACCCGATGGACGATTCCGATCTTTCCGACGAGTATTTGAGCTTTTCCGACAGCTCGTGTTCCTGCTCCAGCACGTGTTCCAACTGCAGCTGCTATCTGAATAAATCTTAGTTTCCAAAGAACCAACGATACCGAGAAATTTTCAAAACTTGACAATTTTTAATACAAGAACTTGGGCGTTCTTGTAAGCGCGGCGCAGCGCGTCTGCGTTTTAATTCAACTTATTTAAATGAAACGAAATACACGCGTGTACAGGTGATGGAATACAGAAATTAATGACTAATCGAGGACTTCAAGTGGAAACGTTTAATCACGCAACGTATCGATCCTTAACCCTTTCTCCAAAATACGCCTGCCAGGTATAATAAATACTGCTGTTGTATCCTGAATTAAATATGTTTCGTAAACGCTTGGGAAACTGTACCTGATTGTATAGGATAAAAATAGGTGAGAGTTAGGTGATCGAATGGTAAGAGCAGTTATATTATACAGAGTTAATATCCGTAAGAATTCATAGCATTGTGCGATACGCTGTCCGCGGCTATTTCTACCCTGCCGGTCCACGTGCTAAGGGAGCATCGCAAAAACAGCTGACAAGGCGACTATTCTCGACTCGATTGAATGCAATTCATAAGCGAAGACAAGATGTCAGGATTTTACCGAATCGAACCGAATGAAATCGAATCGAAACAGTTATACGATACATCGTATTACCTACTTCCATCGTAACGGTTTTCTCTATTTATATCTTCGATATTGCCGTCGTTGCACTGGTATGTACGATCCATCCCTATGGACATTGTATACTTGACATACATTTTAAAAATACTTTCTGGTTTAAATTAAATTCCACCTCGGGTGTACGCGCGTTATTTGGCGATCGGTAACGCGTATTATTTGGCCATCTCGGGCGTACCAGACTCTTATAAATTCGTAGCCGAGGATCGTTCCATTCGAAGTACCGTTTTTAACGATACCGACGAGAAGAGTTACGAGACCGCAGTTGCACACCTTTGCACGTGCTACCGGGAAAGCGCGGGAGTACTTGAAATGTTTAGCTGAAGGAAATCGTGCTAACACTGTGACCGTCACAGTAGAAATAGCCGTGACTAGCACGGCTGACGGTAATTCGAATTATCAAGGGTATTAAATATTCAATTTTCTATTTTCAATCCCTTCATTTTCCATGCCATTTAATTCAATCAATTATCTTCTACCCCGTCACTGACATTTTCTATTTCAAAATCAATTCCCTTCTCTCGATATCTTACGATTTGACATTTTTGAAAAACAAACTGATTAGCACTTCCGAAAAGATTTGTAGAATATGTTTTGCTTACATGTGAGAATTTTCAGCGGAACGTTTCGCAAATACGAGGAATCGGTTAACGATCAGTTCGCAATGAACAGAACGCAGTACGATTCGATTTGTAAAAAAAAATAAAAAGAATGAAAAGATGGAGAGTCGAGAGTATGTTTGATCCTCGCATCAATGTTCCATACTCTTTTCCGATCTACGTCTGCGCGTCTCGGCCGGGTCTATAAAAGCGACGTAGGGCGTCGCGACGACTCCAGACGCGACATACGCGCATTACTGAAAATGTGACATCGGAACTGGCCGTCTTCTTATCGACGCTGACAGTTTTCAGATTTTCTGTGAGAAGATAATTAAAAAGCCGATAACATTGCGATCGGGTTTCTTCTACTAGACTGTTTACTTCGATTATTCGATTGGTGTGCATATTCGTGTTTCATTATAGCGACTTGTACCGGTCGCGGTGAACATGTAAAAAGGATCGGTAGAAACGATCCTCAGTTGAACAGTACAGACTTATCAGTGAATTGTATAATCAGTGACACTTTTAACATTGTCGAAAGGATTACTGCCATTGTGGTAAGTTTCTAAATTCAATGCCATCTCTGCGTTACTGCTCTACTTACTCGCGTAATTAGTGAATGAAATTATCCGTATCAAAGGCAACCGGTGACGTTCAACGATAACGCGATTAATTTAAATGAAATTTATCTGGAAGATGCGCTACCTTTCTTTTCCTTCAGGCAACCACCCACAACCCCACCTACTTTCAATCCACCTCTTTCAATACTCCGGAGACCTCTTCCTCGCTTTCTGAAAACGCGTGTTACGCATAAAGACATAAGCCAAAATATTACTTCACTAATGTCTCACGCGCGCGCTAAAATAGTTCTAGTAAACAGAAACGCTAAATATAACTGTGTCCAAAGCTTGTCAGAAGTAGCTAGTAAGAACCGGTAAAGAAGTGAAAAAGAAAACGAAAGAAATAATCGACTTCTACGAATCGGAAACGCGAAAATCGAACGGTGTAAAAATACAGAACGAGCCACGCGATACGAAAGCAAAAAGAAAATTAGTCCGTGACGAATAGATCGTTAGACCGACGATTACGTTGAAAATATCCTGGAATGGTTAGTTGAAATCGCGTGCGAATTTTTATCGACGAGAAAATACTTTGACGAATCGATTCTCTCCCTTTTCTTCGCCCTTCTTCTGACGTTAATTCGAATCGAGAGGGTAGAAGCGATAACGAAACAGTTTGACGCGCGTTGCCGCAGCGAAATCCTTGCTATTGATCTAGGCAGCTCAAAAGGTCCTGGGTTCACCCGGCCAACCTCCGGCATTCTCCCCTTGCATCCCCCACCCTCCGTCTCGTCCTTCGCCCACACAACTCATCGACTCGAATTTTCCTCGATTTCGTGAAAAAACACCCTCCCTTCTCTGCTCGCGAAGGTCAATCCCTCTTTTCATTCCCAGTATCCTTTACCTTCCTCGTGACCGTGCAAGGATAACAGATAGAAAGGAAGAAAAATAAGGTGAAATTTTTACGAGTTTCACCCTAGTCTCGAGAGTACGATGCCCCCTTCGATGAAAATCGCTCAAGGAGTTAAATCGCGTTTCACGCTCGATCGGTGTCGGTGCGAACGGCGTCGTGACAATTTAAAATAGTACCGATGACGTAAAACGAACGGAAAGGTTTACGCGAGCGAAAAGAAAACGAGAGAGAATGAAAGCATAGGGAAATACATGTACATAAAAATTCATCGCGCCCGATTTGATTGCAGATGAAACTGCACGAGAAAAAGGAGTCCGGTATACACAGGGTGCAGGAGATTCCTCTGGAGGAGCTCGAACTGTCGAAGGAGTACGATGTGGAGAAAACCCTTGGCGAAGGGAGCTTCGCGAAAGTTTTATTGGCGACTCATCGAGCGACCCGAACGAGGGTCGTGTTAAAAGCCGTCCATCAGGAACTGACCACGGAGAAGGACTTTTTCCGAGAGTTTCACTACTCTTATCATCTTAGCCCGCACCCGAACATTTTGTGCTCGTACGCGGTCGCGTTCAAAGCGGAAAAGTGTTTCGTTTTCGCGCAGGAATACGCCCCGCACGGTGATCTAGCGGCGAACGTTAAAGCCGGAGGACTGTCGGAGGAAGGTTGCAAGAGGATCGCCGGTCAGCTTTGCTCCGCTCTCGATTTCATTCACTCGAAACAGCTGGCGCATCGCGACATCAAGCTAGAGAACGTGTTGGTATTCGCCGCGGACATGTCGAAGATCAAGCTGTGCGATTTCGGCTGCACGAGACGGGAGGGGACTCTGGTTAACAAGATCCGATGCACCTGGCTACCGTTTCAACCGCCCGAGATCTACGACATCGTGAAGAACGAGAGGTACGCTTGCAAGAGGAGCGCCGATTGCTGGCAATTCGGGATAGTGCTGTTCGTATGTCTAACAGGAAATCCGCCCTGGCAGAGCGCCGACCTGATCCAGGACCCGGAGTACTCGGCCTTTCAGAGATGGCTCAAGAGGAGAACCACCAAAATTCCGCCCACTTTCAGACGATTCACGCCGAGATTATTGCGATACTTTAGGCGAACGTTCGAACACAAACCGGAGAAGAGGCCGCACGTAACTGAGATCAACAAGTATCTGAAAGACTCGTGGTGCGTGAACAAGATAAGTCACAGCGCGACTTCCACGTCGGTGGACGCGAGCGAGACGATCGCAAGGAAGGGCGACAGTTTGCTGTACCTGGACACGATCCTTGATGATCAAAGGAACGTGGATGAGAACAAGAACAAGCTTAGAAAACTTCTCAACAGTTACGGCCTCGAGACGACGATCGATCAGAAGGTCGTTACCAAAAGGATCTGGGAATGGGTGATGCAGTGCGATTCGAACACCGCCGAGCCAGCTTTCGTAGGTAGCCTCGGCACGGAGACCATGTGAGGGATGGTGAAAGCTTCCAGCGAACCATGTCTCCGAAGCGATCGCCGTGAAAGAAAGTACAGTTTCGGTGGTTTCAATGGATCCCACGATGGACACTCGCCATCTCTGGTGCACCGTGACAAAGCAACGTTCGAAAGAACTCGTCTGTATCGAGATTAGAACGCGTTAGTGTCTTTCTTATCCGAGGTTCGAACGATCACCGTACATGGACGCGAAAATACGTGTGATAACCCCTTCATTCGGTACCCTATCCTCGTTCCTCTCCCTTCGCATCGTCACCTACGTTCGCCTACATCCAATTCTTACCCCCTTTCCCTCTCCTTCTTCTCCTGCATCAGTTTTCTCTACGAGCGGACCAATTATCGATGAATCTATCGCGGATGTACATATACGTGCGTGTCCACGCACCCATGCGAAACACGTGCGCACCCATACGTGTATATACATAATTATGTATTTACATACGACGCCTTTCGCACATTTCCTGTCGCATGACACAGCTTCGAAACGACAATTGCCGAAAGGTTGCTCGCCAACAGCCGAATTCGCAGGCGATTCTCCTCCAATTTTTCCTTTTTTTTTTTCTTCTTTTCTTTTTCTTTCCAGTATAAAGAATACGAAACGAATGTGATAACAAAAACTCGTTAAGACTGCGGCGAATGAGAGCGTAACTGCGATCGGTGTTTTCGGTGTCGACTATAGAGACAATAATGACTGCGGATTTCCTAGTAATTTATTACGTTACGATAATTAATATAGTCTAACGAACAGTAACCGGTAGAAGTCACTGTACGAGGCCTTGCGTGAGATCGTTTTATCGGGATAGTTGTTTGGAAAAGAATAGAAAGACGAGCGTGGTAAACGCTCGTTTCAGACGAGAACCAAGATGGTTGAGGATTTTTGAAAATCTTTGTATACAGGTCGAGCGACACGTTTAGCGTTACTAAATAATACAGTGCATTCGTACACATAGCGCGCATATATTCTTCTAGCAATTTATCGGTAGGAGTGAATATAGAAAAAATAAAAAAAAAATGATCGATGATGCAGTTTGGTAGAGCTCTCTTATTACAAAACGTGTGTGACACAATTCTTTCCTCGCGTCTGTTGATTAAAATCGACGAAACCGTGTCGAAAGTCGAAAGGAAAGAAAGGTGTGACAAAAATGACGCGTTAGGCCTCCGTTAACGCGAAGCAATGTTTTCTATATAAAAACATTATCGAAATAAACGCATTAAAAATGAAGATTATTGTATAACGTGTACGATACGTGCATATTTCTTCCTATTATTATTGTTTTATTTTATATAATGAAAATTTTTCAAGCAATGTTTCAGGGAGAAATGGTGCCTCTTCCGGTGTTTCGTTCCACAAACTTGGAGCAAACTAGCACGCAGAAACATTTACTTTCTATCCTTGGACTGTTAAATGTAAAAGAGAGCAACTAAGAGGGTCATCAACGAACACTCGACCTACGACCTTTCCCTTTTTTCCAAATCCGCGACTCGTATCGCGAACGTGCCACTTGTTCAATTTGACACACCCTTGACCTACGAAACACCTGTATCCTTCTTTTTCACTTATTTTTCATTTGTCGAGTGTTCCAGTACCTATTTGTTTAATATAGATACTCAAACGAAACCGCGCTAAGTCTTCTGGCTTCTGTTACGAGATCAAACGCAGAGGTGAAAAACGAGGAAATATAAAAAGAGAAAAATAAACGAAAAAGTGAAAAGATACATGGATTACGTGCGCGATTTTCCTCGAACCGATTCACAGCTGGTGGTGGAAATCAACGTATTCGCGTAATTTATCGGTCGATTCGAAGTAGAAACGCACGATTCGTGGAATCGTTTGGCGATATCCTATCTAACGGAGCTAATTACAGTTTCCCTGGGGAATAACGAATTTTCCTATATGGCAGTGCTATTGACGTGGACAGGATACAGAGAAAATCGGATTAAGGAACGTCAAATGGTGGCAATGTGTATCCGGCTTTCATCGTGTCTGGATACAATGCGTATTTTCGGCCTGCGCGTTTCTATTTCCATACGTCCCACGGTTATTCTCGATCCTCGGCTTCGACAAGCTTTTTCTTCCAACGTGCGAATATACCTGCTTCGCGTCACGTACGACAGACCGGTTTATTCGGCATCACGTTCGACGACGGTTTTAAAAATGAAAACGAAGGCCCGGAGAACCAGAGGTAGAACGAAAACAGTTAGAAGACCGTGAATTTTCGAATAGACAGGAAGGGAAAGAAAGTCCAAGGAACACGGCCGACTGGGGGATACCGTCATCGATCCTCCGGTCCAACAGCCCGACGTCTATTTTCATACAAGCTAAACTATTTATATATACGGACAATGTTCCACTTCTATCACACGCTGAGAGAAGCTAGCAACGTCGCGACTAGACATATCTCACCGTATCACCTATTATCCGATCGATCGGGTGTCCAGAGCAAGCTTCCAAATTGCATTCAGCCGTTTCCATTCGAACCAACTATCCTGCGGGTATTTCTGTAACCGGCACCCGGTTATTACGCCTTCTGCCGCTAACGTGCTTTCGAATTTTACGACCCCTCTTTCGACTTCTTTGACGTCAAAGAAACACTCTTAAGACGATATCGTCTTTCATCGGGTACCACCCGGGAAGGAACCCCAATATTCGAGCCGCCTCTAAAACGATTCGGATAAAAGCGGTAGTGCGATTGTAAACGTTAATATGTTACTTAGCCGTTAGCTTAAAAACTTAGGCTCTGATTTATTGATTAAAATTCTGTTTAGTAAACGTAAAGTATAGTAAAATGTCGGTCGGGCAGTGAGTTACTTAGTCTAAGGTTTCTTGCAATTCCGGACATATAGGCGACTGAAATATCTCCCACAGCTTGTCGAATTCGTCGACAAACGGTTCAACCAGTGAACGCTGATTAGTCACCAAAATATTATCGAAATTTCCAAAGAACGCAGACATTGTCCAATTCATGCTACCGGTGATTAATACTTCTTTGTCCACGATCATAAACTTGTGGTGCATCAGGACGTCCAGCTGTTGCACTCGAAGCGAGACACCTGAAACGTGTATATTTTTATTACTTATTCCAAAATATGAAAGAAAATTCGGCTGATAATGATCGGACGCGATTGTGTTCTCGAATAATCGAACAACACGTACTGTTACTATAAAATAGAGCGAGTTGCGTGGCGTCGTTTTGAGCCATGTTCTTGTCTAATATCATTCTAACAATCACGCCTCGTTTGCGAGCGTTTACTATCGCCGTTGACAAAAACTGAGAAGTCAACATGTACATACAGATGTCTAAACTTTCTTTCGCCTGGTTTATGTAATTTTCCAAGTTTCTGTAACATTATCTATCGTTACTCAAATTTGAAAGAATTAAAATATAAATATTTAATATTGCAGTTAAACGATCAAGCGATTACCTGAAATACCGAACGGGACAATTATTTTTAGGGCAAACTTCCTCGGAAGTAGCGTGCGCTCGGCAAAGACTGGAATCCTTCGTAAAAAACATCACTTCTGAGATGTTTTGTTTTGGTTCATTGACATCGGCTTGTGAAATTCGGCAGGTGTTTGTAGTGTTTGTCCAGAGGTCGTGAAACCTTTTGTACAATTGCCAAACAAGCTCGGAGACAAGCGCTATTCCTCCCAGTAGCAGAAGTTTATTATTTCTCACTTCTAAAATGAAACATCTATAAATGTAGCTGCGTAGAATTTCGTTGGAGCCACAGTTTGATTTTCGCGCGCTTGAAAATCTCGCGGTACCGCGAACTGGTGAGCGCTAGCAACAAATATCGCTAAAAAGTATCACTTTTAACAATGTTCTAACGATTCGATTAGAAAATGAATAGAAGTATCCAATTTTCTCGTTTAAATAACTATCAATTAGCGCTGAAAAGCAAGATTAATTAAAAGTTGTACGTCGAAATACTATAACCTACAGATCTACACTTTAACAGGAAAAGTATTAACAGTTGTGAAGTAAATTTATTATATAAAGTCAAGTACGATGCAACATACCTATGCATATGTTTTTCATTGTTTCTAAAGTATGATAATTCTCATTTGGGAAAGAAAAACAAAACAGAAATTACAATCCTCACTTTACCGCCAATGAAAATATGATACAACTTGAAATTGGCTTTATGTTTATTCAGGAGTGGCACTACACCCACGATAAAAAGCTAGGATAAAGGCGAAAACCCCTGGAAGATCGGTTGAGAAGTTGACAAATAGTTTCCACTGTTTCTTAACAGATGGCGTTTACTTAGAGTTTGGAAACCTGTATTACCATCACCCCACATTAGTTTCGGAAATTCGGTCGATAAGTTGTTGAGTAGTTTCAGCCGTTTCTTAATAGATGGCTCCATAGAGCCATTTTTAGCCTATACCTGACAACCATGGCTTACAATTCGTAGTTCGAAAGAAGACGGAGGAAAAGGTTCGTACGTCAACGGGAGGAATTAAAACGAGATCCAAAGATGTCTCGAAGGGCGGCAATTACAGCAATAAATTGGACAGCGCTTGCCGAGCGAGTCCCGGAATCTGAAAAAGCGTCATTTTCCGCTTTTAGAGCTAAATCTGATCAAATTTTGCAACGGTTAGTAAGATTTACAAGATCAATTCATGTTTGGAACATGTATGATTACATAATATTCCCGCATGTATGGCTTTGTTTTGTTCAAATTAAATAATTTAAGAAACAAATTGTTACATGTTTAAAAATTCGTACTAAGTTTGTATCGTCTTTTAAGTTTCTGCATGGGAATGTACTCCAAGATGTCGTAACCTACTTTCGTTCAAAGACCCACCGATAATAATTACATTGTAACAACAAGTTTAAATTAATACTAAAACCTGTATTAAGTCCTTAATTTCAATAAAAAAAAGATGAGAATATGATTTAAAACCACTTTATATGTTAAATCAAACAAAAAGTAAATCACCATTTTTCTAAACAAATTAAAGTACAATGTAGAAATTGTTAGAAAGAATTTAGGGATATAAAGTCAATTTTATATTTTACAGCATGGTGGCTCATCCTGAAGCTCCACCAGCAATTGATTGGGAATATTATAAGAAACATGTTTCAGCTACTAATTTAGTGGATAAATTTCAGAAAGAATTTCAAGCACTATCTGTTCCATATCCAGCTGATAAATACACAGCTGACATTGAGGCAAAAAAGCAGGAATCGGTAATTAAATTTATTATTTGTTCATATTATATTACCTAACAAGATTATTTCTGTTATAGGCTAAAGAAATAGAAGCATTTACAGAAGAGGCCAATAGAGCTATTAAGGAAATTGAATTAGGAGGAAATAACATAAAGAATATGTTACCATTCAATTTAATGACAATGGAGGATTATGCTATCTTATATCCAGAAGGTACCTGGAGTAAAACGAATATTTCATTATGGCCTCATACAGAAGATGCTCAAGATTCTCCTGAGGATGACCTAGAACCTGATGATGATCATTAAGTTCACATGTTGAGAATTATCATAGTCCTGTAATATTGAACATTAATAATCAAATTTTGGCTTTGAATTATTACATTACTCGTGTATTTAACTGTTGATAAAAATCAAGTTTAGTAAAATTCAAAAAATATCAAAATGTTAAATGCACGGTAATATAAATTTATTCATTGTGTTTTTGTAATTTAAAGGAAATCATGTTTAATCTATATGTAAATCAATTTCGGTCATTTATTACAATAAACCATTATAAAACTTATACAAATATCATATAAATAGAAACTCATGATTTATATGTATATGTATATGAGGGGACAGCTTGCAGAAATATTCTTCAAGGCTGATTTTCAAATGAAGTCGTTTCAATATAAATATATATTTTTTTAGTGTGTTACAGATAAAAGTACTTGAAACCAGAAATTTACATAACTACGTATATTTTTCGTGTATTCATTCATGTAGCCAACGATAAGGTCATTGCTAAATATATCATCTTTTTTTAGTCGATCCGACTAATCAGTTATTGAAATTAAACTCAACATAGTTCGGTGCTAATTTCTATTGGTCCAATTTTTTTTTTAATTGATTCGACGTTTCATTGTAACTTGGTCTTACTGTAATACGTGTTAAAAACATATGTATGTAGGTATCAGCAATCACAAAACTTTAAATAAATTTAGGAGAAAAGGTAGTGTCAAAATTGCTACATGTTTGCTGTTCACTCAAAACACCTCAACGAATGGTGTAAAAGGTACAATACATATACTACTAGTAAATGATGTCTGATCCTTGTCACCCTTCTGTGGTTGGTCTTTGTATTTTATTAAACTCTACAAATTTGAACGAATTACTTAAAACTTTTATGTTTAAAGCAGTTTACGAGTAAAATCGTGATATACTTTGGTTTTCAACGATTAGTAAATTCTTTGTAGGTACACTCTGTTGATCGGTTGTTGTCGATACGGTGTGTACCTATAGATTGAACGCGTGGAAAATCGGTTACAATACCGTTTTTCTCATCAGTTTCTTTTTCGAATATCAGTATAAAATATTTTCGACGTAAGATCGAAGTGTGCTCCGCGCGATTACGATATTGCATTTCAAAAAGGGGAATAAACCGCAGCAGTAGATGCTACGCTATTAGTTATTCACCTTATAAATTTGTATCTTTTATACGTAAATAATTTGATCGTTGCTGCCTTTATAGTAAATTTGTGATTTATAAATACAATTTACTTCTTTTTTCGTTATTTTATATTTTTTTATCATTTCATCATCGAACCTCTTTATACGTGAAAGATGTGGTTACAAATGATCTAACCTTAACAATATGTGAAAGTTTAGGATTTTGATGTTGAACTATATTTAGCTGTACAACGTTTGTGATTTTATATTTTTTTATTACTAATCGAAACTTATATCAGTACTTGATCGGTATACTATTAATGCAAAGTGTAGGTTATGCAGATTGTCTGCAGAGTAATGTAATGAATAGCTGTGGGAACTCTAATATTAGCACGAAGCTACGTGGATCTAAGTGCTCGGAAATACAGGAAGAATCTGTTAGCAATAATCGCGCTGGAGGGTTAGAGAAAGGAGATATAAATGTTTTAAGTGGTTATAATGCAAATGATTTTAATACTCCAAGAGGCACACTGGTCATTTGTCAAAGAAATACACATACGTATTCGTCTGAGCATAATTTCTCCAGATTCAAGCCAAGGTAAGTTTGATGAATCTTCAGCTATCATTCGTAGATGTTTAATTCTTTGAACTTTTTCAGAATTGGTGCTGTTCCACGCAATGAGTTCCGAATGGCTCGTGGAGGCAGCTCTGGAGATCGTGCCAGGGGCACATTACGGGGTAGAGCTTTTAAAAAAACACCTACCGATCGCGACGCGAATTCCGAAACCAGCTACTATCCTACGACTAGACCAAAATTTCAAGAATCGTTGAAAAACCAAGAAAATGCACAGGGAAAATATTATGATGACAAGAGAATATACGGTTTGTTCATTTTGCACCCCTTCAAATACTCGAAATGTAATATCTGTATTAAGGCCAAATTCTAAAAGATAATTTTATTGCATTGCAGAAGATTCTAGAATTTCTAAACTGATGAGGAAATTATGTCGGGAAGATGATTACGATCATTTTATGGTGCTATGTAAACAAGCGCAAGAAGGTATAATAGCGTCTGAAAATCAAAGGTACATACGACGAAATTTGGATGTTATTTGTGATAGTCTATTAGATTTATTACATACTGGTCCTGGACCGGAAGCAAAACAACAAGTTGCAAAATGTTTAGGCCGCGTCGGCTATGCTGCTGAGCAAGATTTTAAACGGTAAATGAAGAAATTTGATTATACCGTCTACATTTATTCGATTTCTGGAATCCCCTTTACTTAAAATGAACTTTCGTTAAATTTATAGCTACATGGATTGGGTTTTCAATAAATGTTCGATGGAAAGGAAGGACGATATAAAGTCCCTTTTGATCAGGTCCTTTATCGAAGCTTTTAAATTGGATGCAGGATCTCCGAGACTAAAAGAATTCTCAGTGGTATTTAACTTTTTCTTTATAATTATCAAATGGTTTATGGTAGATACAGCGAATGATGTTACTGGTTGTTACAGCTAATGATGTCACAGCTGCAATCAACGCTAGAGAATGTGGATCGTTCTGATTTACTGGTAGCAACGGTGGATGCTATATTGCTGATAATGGAATCTTATCCTGAAACGTTTTCAAATCATTTTCGCGATACGGTTGACATATTAGTGGGCTGGCATATCGACTCGACACAGCAAAAAGCGATTGCGACTTACGCAAGTCGTAGCTTGCAAAGATTACGAAGCTTTTGGATAGCCGACTTACAATTTACTTTAACGCTATTGGGACAGTTTTTAGAGGACATGGAAAGTTATGACGAAGAATTGTCTTTACCAGACTCTGGCAGAAGTTCGCCCGGAGATGAAACATCTCCAACGCCCAAAGAATGTATCCGTCGCATTACCTCTTTGATTTCAGTGTTCAATACAGTCACGAAAAGTATATCCGAGCATTTGAATCCCAATCTGACTCCAAACGTACAGTGGTCGTTTTTATCCGATTGTTTGTCAAAGATGTTGAAAACAGTCGTGAAAGCAATTGAATTAGACGATGACAATGAAATTTTGCTTGCAAATTTAACCCTTTCATCCGAGGGTGCCGACGAGTTGTTGAAGCGCATCCAAAATGTAAGCGTTATTCCGGCAAGAAATTCAAATAAATCGGAGTTAAACGAAGAGGACATCGTCAGTATGTTCAAGTCACTGAACCTTAATAAAAATGATTTAAAAAACTTGAAACATAACATCGAGAAAGAGACTTTATTGAAAGAAAGAGAATCATTGTTAAGCGTCGTACGATGGATGGAATTGAAAACAAAGAGAAACTTGGACTTGACCGAAGAAAAGGAAGAATTAATAGTAGTCGCGAATGAGTGCGCATTTTTATTACTGGGATATCTCCAGAGTCGTATAACGAAAAATCACGAATTACTTTACAAGTTTATCGATCTTCAGTTGAAAAGAGTAAACATCTTCTGGGACGACACGATCATTTCTATGTTGAATACCATTTCAAAAATAATAAAAGAGGTCTCTGCAAATCTACCACTGGAACTGGTACACAAATTGCTTGGAAAAGATTCTGTATTACTCAAATTAAGATTTCGTGATTCGATTTCCATTCAGAACGCCAGCCTAGGCGTATATCACAGTCTGCTTAGCTTGAAAAATATCCCACTGCTACAGGAATCGTATCGTTACATATTGTCCGATTTAGAAATTGCTTATAAACTTATTTTATCGGACATCGAAAGTTTAGTTGTGGATAATCCGTTACTCAACGATGTAAAATATAAAAAAAATGACGCGGAAATCGTGGTTATTTTCTTGTTGAGAGCTCTTTCTGATATAGGTAAATATCACAAAGTGTTGCAGTATAAAAGTCGATTAAAGTAAAACCGTTTAATCGAAAGTAAGCTAATTTGTTATATGATATTTTTAGCGAACGCAAGTAATTCGATCATCGGTATGTGGGCACTAAAACCAAGCATCCTGGAGTTGTTGGCAGTCAAGTTGAAGCTTTACGACAGTAGTTTATCAGCCTCCAGCCCGCTATTACAATATAGTATTTTGTATTTGTTGTATGCTCATTGTTCCAGGTAAAATTTAAGAAGAAAAACATTATTCAGAAATTGACCTCGATGTTGCAATTCGACTACAATATCTTTTCTTTTTCAGATACAACCACTTCGTACCAAGTTCAAGCTTAATAACTGGGACTACTGCTTGTCGTCCGATAGATATGTTCCCCGCAGCGTTGGACGTACCAACGACATCGCCTACCAGTGGTCATCTTTCTATAATTCTGAATCTGATAGCTAAAAGTTACAACGAACACACACCTGAGCAGACATTGTTGCTCTTGTCAACGTGGATGCAAGAAATTTGTATACAATCGGAAAATTATATCGGTATCTTAAGTAAAACGAAAGAATATGAGAACGTTCTCGCTAGTCTGGTTAGTTGTGGCGCTACCATCGATCGAGACATCTCCATTGCCGTTTGTAATCTCTTTGAAATATTGATGAGCGCAAAGAACGTTACGTGGAAGGAAGAGATTTACGGATACATCGTGGATCTGGTGATGTTGCATTTAACTTCACGAGACGAAGTTGTAAGGGAAAAGTACGGTTCTTTATTGACACGCGTACCCCTGAACATAGTAATACCGAAACTCAATAAAGAATGTGTACTGTCGGAAACAAAGGTAAGGTCGTACGATAATCTTCTGTTATTCGATAATTCAGGAAAACTAGTTAATTTTTTAATAGCATATAACTCAAAGTACGTTTTTAGTTAAACTTTATTTTCTTGTAGAAATATATGGGTATCAAAAGTTACTCGACCGAATCCTTAATTCTCGCTCAGAGATTGCATATGCGAGGAAACAATAATGGAGAGATGCAAGCTCAACATTTTAAGACGTACATGGCTTTTTTATTGCAAGAACAGTATCTAGAT